TTTCAATAGTTCTACTCATTTATTGTAGAGAGTAGTTTGAAGTAGGTTCTGGTCGTTGATTTACAACGAACGTTCACTGTTCAGCATAGCGTCGGAGCCGCAGCGGCCGTTGGACTCGCATCGGCCACTCCAGATGTTTTTGAGTTTGCTGACGATCGTTCCGTTGGCAGTGGCTCAGCCTATCCGTCACCCTCGCCTCAGTATACTCCATTCGCATATGGGACCGTTGGAAGCCCGATTTCCGGGCAGTCGATGAGAGGAAGTAAGCTGTTATAAAATTTCGCTTGCTTATTCATGCAATGGATATTGCAAAAAGATATTTCGCTTTCCTTTGCAAACAATAATATCTGATTTTTAACTGCAGTAAAGGGATGTACTGCGAGTCGACAGAATGACCTTAGTATTTTGCACCATTCTGAAGTGTTAAATTCGTTTCAGCCGTAACAAAGCGGCGTCCACGTGCTCGAAAAACTGCAAATATGGGAGATCGGATGGGTGATCTTCAACAAACAGCTGGTAAAGATCCTACAATGGCCGGTATTCCTACACGGAAGCCTCGCGGTATGTGGTTCTCCTCAATTTTCTTAGGACTTCTTCTGATTCTGTCATACTGCACTATGTATAATTACCGCCGTACATGTAACAAATGTTGGCGAGGAACTGTTCCACTTGGTTTCTAGAATTCCCTTCACTGGGAACTCTGTGCATTTATCTTCCTCTTTTTCTCATTCAATTCTCGTTTCTTCTGCATCCCATTCTTTCGATATTTTGTTCCTACTCCGATCGAGCACTTCAACCCGATTCTTTCAATGCGTCGCCTGATACGTAGCCTCCCTAAGACGCCCTCTTCCCATGCGTTCCCTTTCTCCGCCCGACCTACCTTCAACTGTCTATGGAGTGTGGTTTTCGTAGGTTTCTCTTCGGAAACGATGTTTTCTTGCATAAAATTTATTCCTTGTTCCTAGTGATCGAAACTGATGTATTTATGTTGGGAAAGAGTGCAAGAATACCATGACGATTCCTTCGGATGTCAATAATTGTAGAAGCGTGTTTTTGGCTTGCGCTTGTGGCGTTCTGATTCCTTAATTTCAACTGCGGTTACGCACATTCTTATTTTTGGATTCCTCAATTTAGTTTAGTTATACGTAACCTTGAGTGACGTTCTAGGAAAAACTGGAGTACGTCGTCCACGTGGTTCTCGTAAAGCGGCATTAGCAATGTCTCATGCCGATTTGGAAATGCAGCAGCGGGTGCCTCCTCCATTGCAGAGGTCGTACAGTGATTACGAACAAATGTCCAATCCAGGTGGGTGATGTTTTTTCTCAGTAAATAGAATGGTACATTTGAAAATCCCTTTCTTAAGGTGCTCTGGGTTCTCAACAGTTTTCGTGGACACCGAGTCTGATGACGAATGTGATCCCCCACCACCGCCGAAATCGTTGGGGATGTTCCCGTCGCGCTCACCTGTGACAAGTCAGGTTACAGCAGCTTCAGCTGCAAACAGTCCTTCACATGTGAGCTTTTTGAAACAGTGTCTCTAATTGATTTCGATTCCTTGTGTTCGAAGTCCTGGCGCAGAAGCAGGGCATAGTAGAGACCCGAGTACCTAAAAATGATGGATAATTTTAGTCAATGAGTCCATTGTGCGTTCCGGTTGGCACTCCATCGTCCTCCACTCATCCTCCTCCATCGCCTCTCGCAGCGGCTTCCCCGACAAGTAAGCCAGCCTGCACCATTTTGCTTCGCACGGAGCAGCGCAACGCGACAGACCAGTATTTGCGCGGTGCGTGGAAGATTTTAAAATTCGCGCCAGTCGTGCAATACCCCATCAGCCGAAGGAGTGTTTTCAAGTGAGTTGGCTGATATAGTCAGGCATGATAAAAAAAATTAGACTGACTTCTCTACTTTGTCATTATAGGCCTTTCGCGATGGACGGAATCTCCTCCACCACCTGAAGAGCGCATCTCGGCTGCATCCACAGTATCCGTCAACACCACTTTCAAGCACCCCCGGTCAGCGCATCGCCCTTACAATCTGTCACCGTTACAACTCAGGTAATTTTTCAGCTTTGTTAACTGAGCTCGATGAAAATTAGGGCTTATGAGAGTTTGCTCCACAAATTTGGTTTTCTTTCTCTTTTCGGAGGTTTTCAATGTATACTAAGGGAAAAGGAGCTCCGCCTGTTTTAACACTTCCTAAGATGGGTCACGAATTCGATTTTCTTCCGAATCCTTGAAGGAGTTGGTAATACGTTTCTGACTCGAACATTCACTTGCGATTATAAGCCGATGTATTCATCACTCATCAAAAGGATTCTAGTTGTGGAAAACGGAACCGGCACTCGCGGGCGGTTGTGCTAGCGTATAAGGTGATGAGCCGGTTAGCCTATTTCGGCAGTAAAGCGTGATGATGAGGACTCTGGCTGATGTTACAATTTTTGCTGCGGCGTCAAATAGCAGTCAAAGTCTAAATTGTATAAATTATTGTTTTCTTCCTAATCAAAGGTACCGGTCAATTAACCTTGGAGGGTAGTCTATGCATTCGCCCACTGCGCCTCCCCTCTACAAGCTCATATGGTTCAAACTAGTTGCATTGATAGAGTAGTAAAATGAGCAAAGTCGGTGTTGGGAATGTTTCTGTGGTTATTCAACGTTTCCTGGCTTGAACGGTAGTATTGATGATGTCATGGATACCACCTAAGTTGGTTAGGCGATATTTCGCCTAATTAATTTAGGTGACATCCATCACCTTATTTATTAGATGATTTATTAGTTCTTACCAATATCGTTGTTGAAACTGATCTGAGTGTGGTAGCACTTGTGTCTATGAAAGCATTTAATTAGGATGCTTTGCAGTGTTTGCTAGCGAAGCTTGGCGAATTTTTGCTTTAGTAGTGGAGAATCGAGTAAAACCGGCCTCGTGCAAACAACGCGAGGTTTGACTACTCTGATAATTACAGAAGAAGAGATTTACTGTTGGATGGGAAAGAGATAATTCAAACAAATAAGCTAATTGAAGGAAACCGACGGAGTTCAGATTGAACGAGTACTGTGTACGAAAGGACGGGAGAAGGAGTACCTGAAACATTCAATCTCAATTTGCTGCATGTACAGCGAAATACCCAGGACAGTAGAATCATACAGTTCTAATCGCTTGCCATCTGGCTTGGGTTTTTCAGGCGGCGTACATTCTGCGAATCGAAGACCACCCACATAGCGTTCCCCTTTGATCGCATCATTAGATTCGAGGGTTACTTTTTCCGAAGTTATCGAGCATGTTTAATTAGATGTTTAGCTCGAGTGTTCCCATTAGGAATTATTTCATGAACGATCTGCGCAAGTTTCCCTAGTTCTTTTTCCACGTGTACAACTTTCAAACTCTGAAATAACCTTTTTGAAAAGTGACCTGAAAACCGTGTCTATCGAAATGGTTTTCAGGCAAGCACGTCATCACCGAGAATTTCCTCGGAAACAGGACGAGAGCAGATGTCTTCAGCTGAAGGATCGCAGAACACCACACCGACAGTGAAGATAGAAGGCGCCAGCAAGTTGATATTAAAAGTAAGTTTTCTTGTAAAAACAAAGCTCAATCTAGAATTTCTGTTATTTGCATTGTAGATTGGTCGTTTCTCTTTTTCCTCTGTTATGTACACCCCGATCTTTTTTCCAGATTCCAAAAGTCCCATCAAGAGCATCTCCGTCAGTCGACGCACAGAAGACCAAGTCGATTCCTATGCAGTCGATGCCAAAGCTCGAGAAGCAAGAAAAGAAACGAGATAAGGAGAAAAAAGAAGGGCACAAGGTTTTGCTTTTAGACATATGTAACTAGCTTAGCAATATGGCTACTTTTTGTGGCTTAGGTGGAACGAGAGCGAAACTGTTAACATGGAGCAAAAGCAATAGATTTCTTGAGAATGATATTTGAACAATATTGATTTTTTCTCAGGAGAGGTCCAAAGACAAGTCGGACGAGTCTCGGCGTCAGAAGAGAAAGGCTGAAGGAAAGGAGAAGGACCGCGAGCATAAGAGGCACAAAGTGAGTCTATGCAGCCAAAGTGAAATGATTGCGTTTGTCACAGAATGTCACTTTTCTCTCGCTTTTGTAGAAAGCACTAGCAAAGGATTTGCTCATTCTATGAATAGGAGCTTAAAAAGCTCGTTCAAGATTGGCGGCCTTGATTAATGATAGCATAATCTAGGGAATTC